GAGGGATAGCCCTGGAGACTGGGACTCCCAAGGTAGGAAGGCAACAGTTCCCTTCCTCATATCGGTGTCTCCAGCAGCGAGCCAGGGCATCAGCCTCTGAAGAAGAAGTCAGGAGTGCTTTTTGGCAGGAAAAGAGCTGATGCAGAAACTTGTTGCCTGGCATATTTGTTCACACTTCAAATAAGGGCTTTTGGCTTGGCGACTGAATAGAGTGGATGTTTCCAAGCATCACAAGGCAAAGCTATGGAGAGAAAAGAGCCTCATCCATTCCAGCATAAGCTCTCGTTGAACAAGCCAGGTTTGGTCAGCAAAGGGCCCCCAGGTTCAAAGCTGTTCAGGCATCTAATTCCTACTGCAGCTAGGCCTAGATTCATGTGGACTGAGGAGCTCAGTGGTGGAGAATGGTCTAAAGACAGAGGCACTGCATGGATCTGACCCAGACATCTCCATCAGCCCTGAGTCTCCAGCTCTGGCCTTGTTCTGCAGGAACTGGGTCTAACTTAAAGAGCTTTTGGTGGCTGGCTGGCTGGCTGCACCCACACAACACCTTGAGGTGTCTGCAGATGCTGAGCATGGCAAAGGATGGGCTATTGGGAGAGCTGGTTGAAAAGCCTTGGACCTTGCCCATCACCTCCGGATTACGAGAGCACCACAACAGAGACAACAGTGCTTGGGAAGAAAGTCACAAAGCTTTGGCATTCAGTCAGGCTCCACCAGAGAGCCCCAGCTCACCACAGAGCCAAGCAGTCTAGAAGGGTTGTGGAACATCTCCTAATCCAGCCTCTCCCTCCACAGCAAGACAGGAGCTGTAGTGCTGCTTTTCTGTGTGGCCCAAGGCTGGTGGACACCAGCACCGTGGGACTCCAAGACACCTAGGGCACATCCCTTCTCCTGGTAGCTGGTGATGGGATGGGTGAAGGAGGTATGCTCTGCTCTCATGATGTGTCACTACAGGTTAAGGTGCAGGAGGAAGGTCTCAATAGTGCAGCCAACCTGGGGCAGAGACACAGTCCCCTTCCTGCCTTATGGGGCTCTCCAGGAGCTGCAGGGGCTGATGGGGCAGAGGTGCTGCATCCCCCTGTCTGATGCCTGGTGTTCACATCCTGACCAGTGCTGCAGGAAACAGGGATAGGCAAGGAGCACTGGGCTTGCACCATTCTGGGAGGACACTCAGGGACACGGGGCAGCTGGCAGGAGACACGGGAAGGGCAGTCTGGAGAAGCACCGCTTGATGGAGAGGGATGCTCAGCAAAGGGCTGGGTAGCATAAACCAAGGGGTGATCACTGCAGGTCGCTGGGACCCTCAGGAGGAAGCAGCCATAAGGACACATGGCTGGGGACCACTGATGGCCAGGATCTTGGATGCTGGGAGGCTGCAGCGCTCCTCACCAGCCCCATGCCCACCTCCATGTGTGCACACAGACATCCGCAACCATCTCCTCCATACCCCAGTTTGGGGGGGGGGGGGAAGATGTGCATCCACCAACCGCTGTCCAGGGGTGTGTGCCTGGGTGCTATAAGAGGCTCCAGCCCCCCCTCCCCATCTTCTCCTTTCACTTGGCTCACCCTTGCGTGACAGCAGAGCCCCCCCTCCTTCCCTGGCAATCCTTGGGGGATATCAAGGGCAAGGAAGAGAAGGGTTACCTGGAGGAAAGGGTTGCTAAGCAACAACCCCCCCGGACCCCCCCCCTCATCAAGCACCGCAAACCCAAAACTCGTTCCAGGCCTGCAACCAGATTAGCATATTAATGAGGCTGTAATTTCCCTGGAATTGTCTGCACGTCTATGCCCGCTCACAGCGCACTGGCCCAGGAGTTTGCTATGCAAATAAACTGGTTTTACAGGCTGTGGCTTAATTAACTCATCAAGTTCATCTCCCTAACAAAAAAGGCAGACTAACTGCGGATTAATGGACCTGTGTTTGCTCTTCTCTCTCTCCCTCTCACCAGCTCCCCAAGGCAATGCTTCCCTGCGGACCCTTCCATCCCCGGCCGCAGCACTGGGTAGATCCTCCATCCTCGCAAGGAGATAAATCCTGGGAAAAGAGATTGGGAAGGGGGGGAGGATCTTAACGCTGCTTCCAGCAGAGTCGGGGAGGTTTCCTCATAGACTTCAAGGGGAATAAGATGGATCAGGCCTCAAGGATGGTAATTACGCCTTCAGTCGAAGCTGGCAGGTGACCACTTAAGAGAAGGAGGTGGCATGTCGTGGCACTGTCTCTTTAAAACGGTTGTCTCTGTGCAGATCAGGGGTCGGGGATTTTGGGGAGCGGGATTAAGGCACCGTTTCTAGGTGAGCTCTGGCAATCCTGCTCCATCCCTGACAGTGTGGGGTCAGAGCAGGCGAGAAGGATGCTCTCCCTCCTGGGTTAATTAGAAAGGCCCTTCTTGCCTGCATCCCATGCTCGGTGACATCCTGTCTGGTGAAAACGACCCCAAAAAAGTAAGTATAAGGATTTACAGAGTCACGCTGTAAGAAAAGGGGAATTCACACAGCCCAAATTCTGTGTTCAACAGCAAATCCCTGCGCCGGAGCTTCCTTTGAACATCAACATCACTAAGACTTTATTTCCCTTTTCCTTCCCTGCTTTTCCTGTTCCCCCTTTCCTTCCCTGGGAAAAGGGGAGCAGTTTTCTGTAGTTTCCTATTTGCTACCCAAATAGCAGCTATTTGGGTTCACATGTCCCCCAGTTGCTCACACATCAGTGGGGGTTTGGAGGCATGTGGAGCTGGGCTGAGAGCCCCGAGGCTGCGTGTGAAGTGACTCCAAGTGGAGATGAAATGTCTGAGCATATCTTTTCCCTTTTCTTTCTTCCTGCATTGTCAGTTAATTGGAGCTTGACCTCCAGGAAGGTTTTCCACAGCTGGGAAGGTGGCCTAGGATACTGAATTCCGAGCTTAGGAATGGTGGGAATGGTTTCTTCGGCATTCATAGGATGAATTGTGCTGGCCCGATGCACGGAGCCCCGAGCAGCAGAGAGCCCAGCCAGCCAAACAAGCAAGGGGAAACTGAGGAATGGAGCTTCTGAAAGGTGCTCAAGGTGGCCCCATGGCCACCCAGCTTGGGCCCTTGGCTTCCAACCCAACAAGCCACAGCAGATCTGCTGTCCATCACCCCATAGCAACGCTACCGCAGCTTGCACACCCCTGGGATCTGCACCATGCAATAACCCATGGTTTGCTGTTGGGGTGGGACAGGGGCCAGCTCCAGCAAAGAGCACCCGGCTGCTTCATGCACTCAGATCTGCAGCATCTCCTCAGGATGAGATCCACATCTCCCTTGGAACAAAGTTTAGGATCACTCAGATCCCACTCGGCTGAAAACCACCCCTCTTCCAGCTTACAGCCACCTCGGGATGGACTTCAGCTGAAGCTTTCTTGCTCAAGTTGGTTCAGACTGGACAAAGCCCTTGAAAAGAATCCTGCTGCACTCACAAGGAAATGGACTGGCTGACCTGAAAGGTCTTTTCCATCTCTAATTTCTGTGGTTGTGCGATTCATCCCTCTTCTTTGAAAGTGTTTCCTACATGAAACGTCCAGCAGAAGGGGAAAAAATGATACTAAATAATCTCTTTTCATTTCCTCTCATCATTGTCAGAGATTATGAAAGGTGAGGGATATGTCTGCTGTGACATTAGCCAAGCAATGGAACAGAAAAGGCAAACCAAGATTCAGCTTAGCAGCCAAGAAAGCAGCTATTCATGCAAGGTGGGATAGGAAGAGACCTGCTTGGAGACATCCTTTTGAGGAATACAATCGTTCCTTATTTTCTCAGATCTTGACAAAATACTGAGCTGAAGGAAAACTGAACATCCTGTAAGAGCAAAGGAGGAGGGAACCAAGGAAAGGACCTCACTCCGAATGCTGTTACCAGGAAAGACAAGGAGCCATCATCTGGGGAAGAACATCAGAGGAAGGCCTGCACAAAGGAATGCTCTTTGGTATCACCGGAGCCAGCTGTGGGTTCAATGTTCCTAACATCCTTCAAGGAATTTCTCTCCTATGAGCTTGTTCATTTCCACTGAGCTCGTGCAGCAGAGTTCCAAGGATAACTCATTGCAAGAAGTATAGATTGTCTTAAATCGTGCCTCTGCTACCTTCACCTGAGGATATGAAAAGGGGTTGGTTTCATGTTGGTCTTCTACTAGCTGTTTCATGTAGAAAACGCTATCAAAAGCATCATGTCATCTCAGCAAGGAGATAAAAAACTCCTGAGGTCAGCCAAGACATTCCCTGGGGAATGCTGAAGTGCATCTTTCCATCTTGAAGCATGGGCAGGAACTGGGAGTTACTCCAAACAAGGGCACAGGAGAGGTCTATTGTCTTGTCCCAGCTCAGCTCCCCATCCCAGCTTCATTCGCACTCCCCAGTCCATACAACCACATGGAAGTTCTCCCATCCCTGCAGACTCTGTGTCCACTGCTGTACCCCTCCACTCCCCATATCTAAAGCCCCCGTGGTGAGGTTGTCTCTTCCCCCATGCCTACCTGGTGACTTCAGCTCATAGCGTTGCATCAGCCCAAGGTAGCTCATGAGGGTCAAACTGAGGAACATCAAATTATACCATTTTCCCTGTCAAATAACGCCTTGCATTTGTTAACCCTTCCTATCCCATGTGCTCAGGAGCAAGCACAAGGTCATGTTGCTGGAAAAAAAAGAAGCCCCTTTCAGCTAGCTTCTGCTTTAAAAGCTGGGCATGCGACTGGATGTATGGTCCCATCATGAGGTTTCCAGAAAGGCTGAGGAACCAACACTCAGGACATGCTTCTGCAGACAGCCCAGTGTCACGCATGCAACCACTCATCTGATGGCATCAGGATGGGAAGGCAACGGGGGACAGAGCTGCTATCCCTAAAGTGAAGGGGAAATGGGGGAACACCAATGGAACAAACCCCTTTAGGAAGGCAGGCTCTGAGTCTGACCCAGATTTCACTGGTGGTGTGGGGATCAGAGGTGGTTTGAATGATAACTGCCCATCTCCATCAGCGAGGAGGTGTTGATGTGGAGGGGTTTTGTGACCGTAACATAGGACTTTCAGCTCTTTTTGTTTCATTGATTTAATGGATTTTCATTCTCTTCTCTTCTGTCATTTTCTGGGAGCAAGACAAGCAATTTAACCCAAAACCCATCTCCAGCATCGCTCCTTTGCTGCAAAATGCATTTATACAGTTTGGCACTTTTTTAAACAAAGACTAAATGTTCACAGTCAAAGGATGACCCCGCATTTGAACATTTCCCAGGTACCATTCCTTTCCATAAGAAGGACTAATCCTTTAGCAGCCAACATTCCAGGACACTGGAACGTTTCTTTTCTCCTATGTAGCCACTACTTCAACAACAGGGGGAAAATATCATCTGGTACAGAAGAAGGGAGGGAAGATGGGACCTGAGAGGACCAAGTGGTGGGAAGTTGGACCTACACAGGCTGAGCCTTGAAATTAAGGATTTCCCTTTTAAGATTAATGAGGAGAGTGATAAAAGGAGGGAACAGATTTAAAAGGGGGAGACATCAACTTCTCCATCGCTGAGCTGGTGCCTTTCACAGCGGAAGCTGCTGCTTATCCACGAGTGATGGGGCTGGATGCAGAAATTACCAGGCTCATGCTCCATGGGAGGTCAGACTCCATGATCACCAGGGTCCCTTCTGGCCCTAAAATCTATGAATCTATTGATGCTCTGAGGCTTAAAAAGCAGCAGCTGCTCCTATGCAGCACCTAGTTCTCATAAGCATTTGGAATAATGGATCCATATTGTGCCAATGCATACTAATGTTAATATACATTTGCAGCATACAATGTGATGGCTTTGGAGACACCCGGGTGTCAGATTGAATCAGTGTCAGTGACACACCGTACCAGGACTTCGCGGCAGGTCCCTGTTGGCTCCTCCGGTGGGAAGCATTCGCTTCTTTGAAATGATTGTGTTTATCCCTTATGTTTCTGGAGAGGAAAAGAAGAGGAAGAAAGAAAGGAATCATAGCAGGCTCGCCATAGGACTGCTGCCTGCAGGTTGCAGCCTGGTTTTCGCCGGGTTAGAGGTGTGGATGCGAGGGAAAACAAAGAACAATTCTGCATGAGGAGTGACCGAACAGTTCGGAGGTGCAGCCTTCTGCTCTCTCTGTTCATCTCTGCTCATGCACCAGTGCAAAGAAACGAAGAGCCAGGGCCAGGGGCTGCTCCCAGCTCTGTGCATGCGGTCCCTGCTGAAGTCCAGGGAAGTTGCACAAAGCATTTGCGAGCCAAAGACCTGAAGCTGCCGCTGCCCCATTTAATCCTCACCCTGGCTTTCAAATGCAGAATCAGGCTGAGAGAAAACGGCCTCTTTAATTGCTGCCCTGGGATGGGATCGAGGGGGGCACAGGAGGGACACGCCGCTCCCTCTGCACCCACAGCCATGCATGTGAGCACACATGGGTGTGCAAGTGGGTAGAAGCACTCCAGGCTGTGTGAGCAGGATGTGGGGTGCCAGGGGAAGGTTTGCACCCCAGGCTTGACCTGCATGGTTTGGGGAGAGGGGGATATGTGTGCATACACGTGCAGTACCTTCACACTTCCATATAAACATGCAGACACCTTGTCTTTTCATAATAACCAAGCCCACATCAGCCTCACCTGAATTCCCTGCCAAATTCACTGACATGAGCCCACATAGGAAGCTGCCCAAAACATGGAATCACAGACTCACAGAATGGTTTGGGTTGCAAGGGAGCTTAAAGCTCACCCAGTTCCAACCCCTGTCACAGGCAGGGCACCTTCCACTTGAGCAGGTTGCTCCAAACCCTGTCCAACCTGGCCTTGAGCAGTGCCCAGTCAGCCCCAGTGCTGGGGACAAGGAGACTCTTTCACCACCCAGGTACTGCAAGGGTTAAAATCATCCCCACACACAGGATGCTCCAGGACTCACCTGCAGCAAGGCCTGGGTGGATGGAGGTCTCCTTGGAAGTGCTGCTGCCCTGAGGAACATCTTCAAGGCTGGATCCCACATGCTGGTTGAGGTGAGAAGCCCTTCCAAGGCTGGCCCTTGTCCATCCCCACCTCCAGCTGTGAGAAGTGGCTTCCAATGTCAAAGCTAAACCTGTGCTCCCCCATGATGGTTTTTGCCCTGCTCCAAAAGCAACAACAACAACAGCAAAAGCATTTAAAGAATAATGGAAAGAAACCAAGAGCCCACAGGGACCTCGCTCCCCTTTAAACCTTCCACCTTACTTCATGGTCCTATACAGCATCCTGCTGCCAGGTCTTCTCTTTTCACACCTTGGGAAGCCCCAGATACCCAGGTACTAATAGGAGATCCCTTGACCAGAGCACATGGGGCTGCTTTTGTGGTCCTGATTGTGGTTAAGTTTAGAGGCAGGTTGTGCATTTCTAGTGAGGGCTTGACAATGGAAGCAAGTGGGGATGGAGGAGAAGGAGAGACAGGAGAAGGAAGCAGCATGGCTTTGTGCCCGGGTGACAATAACAGTCCAGGAGCCTCACTGCACATTGGGCACCTGATGAGGTTAGGGAGGTCTCAGGCACAGTCTCCCCCTTTCCTGAGGCAATGGAGAAGTTTCAACACCCCTGCCCAGCATGAGGTGTCCCTGGTTGTGAAATGGGCATTGGAGTCCATTCATGGCCCTAAGGCCACCCCAGGAAGGGCTCTCTCCTCCTGCCTACATAGAGAGGAAAACCTCATCTCCTGGTAGAAAAAAGATGGGGCTGAGGGACACTGTCAGCTCCCACAGAGCCTGGGTACATGAGGAAGGAAGAGCTGCCGACATGGGTGTTGTGAGGGCTGGTTTTGTGTGTGTGTGCATGTAACCTGCCCTAGGGCTGTGTTTGAGAACCGGGGAGGCAGAGGGGAAGAAGGTTTAGGTGTGTGCAGGGAAGCGTGTGCATGAGTGGGATACATGCACATAAATGGACACACACGAAGGGACCGTGCGGGTCGGAGGGTGAGCTCAGGGAAGGGGCGTGAGTGTGAGCAGGAGAGGACGAGGCAGACAAAGAGCCGCACAGGCGGGCAGGAGCAAACCCCGGCCCTCCCCGCGGTGTCGGGGCTGGGGTAGGCAGGTGAGCCCTGCCCGAGGCTCCAGGCAGGCGGTGCCGGGAGGGGCATGGGGGTGTTTGTGCAGGAGGGACGTGTCCGAGTATCACCTCCCGTGAGCTCGGGCTTTGCCTCTTCATTTCCACGCCGCCTGGGTCCCCCCCCGCTCCTGCACGGCTCGGGGCGGGCGCGCACTCGGGGTCTCGGTTCTAATCGCAGCCGCTGTAAGAGGGAAAACCCCATGGAGCCCCCGTCGGTGCCGACCCGCGGCAGAGCCGCTGTCCCCGTCGGGGTTGAGCAGGTCACGTCTGTCCGGCACCGGGAGGGGGGGGAATCCGGTGAGCCTCTGCTTGCGGTAACGCCTTGTTGGTGAAATTCCGGTCTCGCTGGCAAAGGTGGCTTCCTGCGAGAGGAGAGAAACGGGAAAGGAGAGAAAAGCAGAGAGAGACGGAGAGATCGGGGTTGGATGTGTGTGAAATGAGAGGGGGAAACGAAAAACAGCGCGGGGAGGGCCGGGAGAGGAAGAGAGGGAGACAGAGAGAGGAAAACGGGATAGGGGGAGAGAAAGAGAATAAAGGAGGGAGGGGACAGAGAAAGAGAACGAGAGAAGGGGAGAGATTTGAGAGACAAAAAAGAAAAGGAGAAAAAAACTAAAAGGAGAGGAACTGCGAAAAAAAGAATCTGAAAAAAAACTAAAAATAATTAAAAATAAAAGAAAAGCATAATAAAAAATAAGGAGAAAAACGGCTAAAAAAAACTAAAAAAAGAAAAAAAAACAGAACAAACGGAAAAACAGAAAAAGAGAAAGGGTTTTAGAAAAGTAAAAAAAAAAAAACGAGAAAAAAGGAGATAAACGAAAAAATATTTAAAATAAAGAAAATAAGAAAATAACAGGAGAAAAGCAGAGCGGGAAAGAGCGAGCGAGGGGGAAGGAAGGCCATACAGAAGGAGGGGAGGGCGGAGGGCAGCCGTGCCCGGTGCCCGCGGGGCCAGGAGGGAGGGGACGGGCCCGCACGGTTCAGGACCCTGGAGAGCTCCGCGCCGCCGGACGCTGGGGCCCGGGGCTGACCCGGGTGGGACCGGAGGGGACAGGAAGGGAGCCGAGCTTCCAGGGCCTGGCAGGAAGCCGGGGGGGGGGCTCGGGGCCGTTATCCCGGTAGGATTCCTCCATCCCGGGGCTGAGTCCAGCGGGACCCGTCCCGGAGCGGGGCTCCGAGCCCACCCGGGATGTGGGAGCGGCCCCCTCAGCCCCTCCTGTCCCCATCGACAAGCGTGGCTTTGGGACGCTCTCAGCCCATCCCTGTGTGTTTCCCCCTCCGAATCACCCCCGGTGCCTGTTAACGGGAAGGCAGGAGAGCTGTAACCCGGCCCCCTCATCCCGCCCGCAGGTGCGGGTCCTCTGCTCCCCCCCCTCCCCATTTCCCACTATAAATCCAAGGGACGGGATCCAGGGGGCACAGCCCGGCAGGGACACCCAGAGACCAGGTTTGGGGGTCCCCGGGGGTAAACCCCCCCCGGCAGCGTTCGCTTCAGCCCCGACGGGAGCACAGGGAGGAGCTCCCTTTCCCTTTGCACCCACAGACCTGACCCCCCCCTCCATTCCCATCCCTTTCCCCCCTCCCAGCTCAGAGGGTTTCGTCCCCGCCAGCGCGGACTCCCCACGCACCGGCTCGCTCCGTCCCGCCGCTGCTATGCGGAGCTCCGCCGTTGCCGCCGGCTTTTCTCATGCAGATTCCCTCTTTCACACCTCCCAAACAAAAGCAAACGGGGGCATCGCCTCGCCGTGTCAACACACACGCTCATTAGCGGCAAGGCGGCGGGGGGGAGCGGGTGGGAACGGCTCGAGCAGCCCCTCCGGGGGGGCGGGCGCTTCGGAGGGAGGCTGGAGCGGGCCGGGGATCACCCGGGGAAATTTGGAGCGAGTTCTTCAGCGCATCCCGTCCCCCGTTTCCCCCTCCCCATCTCCAGTCAATAAGTTCCGAAGCTCTGGGTTTGGCTGCCTCCGGTTCGTTTTATCGCAAACACACGCTGCTCACAGCCAGGCTTTTGGGCACAGCAGCGAGAGGCAACCACGGGGCCCTCTGGCCGGGATGGGATGGGATGGGATGCACGGGGCTAAGTCAGCCTCGGGGCAAAGAGAACGGAGCTCGGGATGGGGATGGAGCTCGGAGGGGCGGGGGGTTGCAATTAATGCTTCGCCAATTACCGGCGTCCAAGGGAGAAAAGGAACTGATTGAAACGGCTGTGAGGGAACCGCCGGGAAAGCCCGGCCGGGAGCAGGGTGAGGGCAGCGGCCGCGGGTTTATTCGGTCCTGTTTGTAGGATTCTTTCCCCCCGTATTTCGGGTATGGTTTTCCCCTTTCTGCTGCCTCTCCCGGGGCTTCACCCCGCCACCGGCACCAGCAGCACCTTCCGTTTGGTGCCGTTTCTTGCCCCGAAGCCCCGCGCTGGGGCTCGGAGGGCAGGGAAGCACGAATTCGTTTAAAACAATAAAAGCGGGATAAATAAACCCAGCGTTCCCTTTGCTCTTCGTTTGCGTTTGGGCCGCGGTTGGGGTCGGGGGTGAGGGGGGGTGGGTTGGTTGCTTTCTTTTTCACCCACCCGCCTTTACAGAAACACCCACGGCGAGCAAAGAGCACCCGGGATGGGGGGGGGACACGCTCCAGGACCCCTCCATCGGGACCCCGTATTGCAAGAGATGGAGGGGAGAAGCTGCGCGGGGCTCCGCGCATTGTTTGCCGCGGGTGAACCCGCACACACATTTACTCGCACCTCGTGTGTGTGTCCCCCCCCCGCCTTTTTCCCCGCAATAATACGGAAATTTCCATGTCCCAGCTGCCTTCCCCTTTTAACCTTGGTATTAATTTAGGACGGATCTTTTTAAACGCCCCTATAATGCATGCAGGCGCTGCTGGGGGTTTATCTCTTTTTCTCCTTCTCTCTCTCTCTCTTTTTTTTTGTACCGTGGGTTATATTTACACCCAAAACAAAATAATTACACTTTTGTTGGCGAGAGAAAGCTGGTGATTAGGCTGCGGCTCTTTGCAGCGAACCCTTTCTCAGTGGTACACCAGGACAATTTTTCACGGCTGGGTGAAATCAGACGCGGGAGGTAATGAATCCTGTGAGCTATTTAAATTTACAATTTGTAACGCAGTCACTCAGAAACGCCTATGGCCCGGCGAGGAGATGCTTGCTGGGTTTGTTTAATGTTAAAACCTGCACCGTCCCCCCTCTCCTACCAGGGGGAAGGAGGGGGATGCGGGGAGAAGAAGCCTCGGCCTTCCCCAAACGCGCTCCCGCCCGTAGCAGCCCCGCGGAGGAGCGCGGAGCGGTGCGGAACCTCCGCCTCCCATCGCTCCCAGCCTCGGCTTCCGCGGGCCGGGCAAAGCCGCGCTCCCGCTCCGCGCTGCTCCGCGTTTCCTCCGCGCTTCCCGTCCTACAACCAAAAAGAGTTGGAAATATCAACCCGAGTCGCCGGCGGAGCATCCTAGCAGATAGATAATTAATTACAAAACACAGGGGGAATATGCAAACCGCGTATTACAAATTCTACAGGGCTTAACTGATTGGAAACAGATTATTATCTTGTTTGTCTTTTGTCTGTTTCACTTATCCCTCTGCCGTCTGCTGGGTTGTAACTTGATACACTTTATTCTTGAAAAGGGGCTTTTCTCTCTCTTTTTTTTTAATACATAAATTCCATCAACATCTCGCGTAAGCGACGCTGGTTCCCCGTGCGTTACCCTGTTAAAACACAATAGGTTTATTAGCTACATATAGGCGGATATGATGAGGCTGGTATCATGGAGAACGTGGCTGATGGGCTCGGGGTGGGGGGGGTGGTATTTGGGGCTTTCGTTTTTTTCCCCCTCCTCGGCTTTATTTATTCTTTTACTTTCAAAAGGGCGCTGAGAGCGGCAGCGGGTTCGGGACCCCCCGGCATCGCCCCCCCAATTCTGCACCACAGGGGACAGCAGTGGGGGGGGCCCGGCTGTCGGTACCGATGGGGAAGGCACCAGCCGGTAGCAAGGGCCGTGAGGGTGTGCGTGGGGACAAGAACGGCATCCGCACATGGTCCATACCGTTATCCACAAGGAGCCCGTTACGGCGCGGCCCCGCACGCTGCTCCCGGCCCCGCCGTCGAGGCTGCGGCTGTCTGCGGGAATGAAAGACCCGCGGCGGCTGCAAATGGGGCCAGACCGACCGGGGCCCAGCCCCGGTGTTACCGGACCCCCTCGGAGCCTTCCCCCGAAACCGGGGATCCGCAGCGGGCAGGGCCCCGTTCCGAGGCCCCAGAATCCCCCCAACATTTGCCCCGCAAACTTGGGCAGAGCCGCGGCTTGAGCGCGGCCGCGATAGGCGGCCGGTCCGGTCCCTCTGCCTCCCTTCGCCGTTCCTGCCCGTTTCTTCCCCTTTTAATGCGCTCGCCGCCTGTTGTATTTCTTCCCTTCTCTCTTCCCTTTCTTTTCTTTTTCCTCTTGCCTTTGTTTCCTTTCGTTTCCTTTCCCTTCTCTTCCTCGCTCTCTCGCTCTGGTGCTTTTCCTCCGCG